CAATGAATGTACAACGGAAAAAACATACAATGTACAATGTAAACAACATACAATGTACAAAGGAAATAACATACAATGTACAACAGATACAACATACAATGGAAACAACATCCAATGTACAAAGAAAACAACCAACATACAACAGAAACAAAATACAATGGAAACAACATACAACGTACAAAGAAAACAACATAAAACGGAAACAACATACAATGTACAAAGAAAACAACATACAACGTACAAAGAAAACAACATACAATGGAAACAACATAAAATGTACAAAGAAAACAACATACAATGTACAACAGAAACAACATACAATGGAAACAACATACAATGTACAAAGAAAACAACATACAATGGAAACAACATACAATGTACAAAGAAAGCAACATACAATGAACAAAGAAAACAACATACAATGTACAAAGAAAACAACATACAATGTACAACGGAAACAACATACAATTGAAACAACATACAATGTTCAAAGAAAACAACATACAATGTACAAAGAAAACAACATACAATGTACAAAGAAAACAACATACAATGTACAAAGAAAACAACATACAATGGAAACAACATACAATGTACAAAGAAAACAACATACAACAGAAACAACATACAATGGATACAACATACAATGTACAACGGATACAACATACAACAGAAACAACATACAATGGAAACAAAATACAATGTACAATGGAAACAACATACAATGTACAAAGAAAACAACATACAATGGAAACAACATAAAATGTACAAAGAAAACAACATACAACGGAAACAACATACAATGTACAAAGAAAATTACATACAACGAAAACAACATACAATGGTAACAACATACAACAGACACAATGTACAATCAAAACAACATACAACAGACACAATGTACAATCAAAACAACATACAACAGACACAACATATAACGGAAACAACATATAAGTAGTTTAATGCAACAATGTAAGTTTAATTTTAGGTGTTAGGTATTTAAACTTTCCAAGTCTCCAAGAGTTTGCTCAAAACATCTTTGCCATGCATAATCATTTTATGTAGGTTGAGTCTGTAAAAAAGTAGATAGGTGAATTCAATACAATGAGGTTGTAAAGTTTTACCTGATTGTGACTGGCTCTCTCTGTACTGCTGGTATACATTGATATAGTACCTGATTGTGACTGGCTCTCTCTGTACTGCTGGTATTCATTGATATAGGACCTGATTGTGACTGGCTCTCTATGTACTGCTGGTATACATTAATATAGGACCTGATTGTGACTGGCTCTCTCTGTACTGGTGGTATAGATTGATATAGGACCTGATTTTGACTGGCTCTCTCTGTACTGCTTGTATACATTGATATAGGACCTGATTGTGACTGGGTCTCTCTGTACTTCTGGTATACATTGATATAGTACCTGATTGTGACTGGCTCTCTCTGTACTGCTGTTATACATTGATATAGGACCTGATTGTGACTGGGTCTCTCTGTACTGCTAGTATACATTGATATAGGACCTGATTGTGACTGGCTCTCTCTGTACTGCTGTTATACATTGATATAGGACCTGATTGTGACTGGCTGTCTCTGTACTGCTGGTATACATTGAGATAAGACCTGATTGTGACTGGCTATCTCTGTACTGCTGGTATACATTGATATAGGCCCTGATTGTGACTGGCTCTCTCTGTACTGCTGTTATACATTGATATAGGACCTGATTGTGACTGGATCTCTATGTACTGCTGGTATACATTGATATAGGCCCTGATTGTGACTGGCTCTCTATGTACTGCTGGTATACCTTGATATAGGACCTGATTGTGACTGGCTCTCTCTGTACTGCTGTTATACATTGATATAGGACCTGATTGTGACTGGGTCTCTCTGTACTTCTGGTATACATTGATATAGGTCCTGATTGTGACTGGCTCTCTATGTACTGCTGGTATACCTTGATATAGGACCTGATTGTGACTGGCTCTCTCTGTACTTCTGGTATACATTGATATAGGTCCTGATTGTGACTGGCTCTCTCTGTACTGCTGTTATACATTGATATAGGACCTGATTGTGACTGGGTCTCTCTGTACTGCTAGTATACATTGATATAGGACCTGATTGTGACTGGGTCTCTCTGTACTTCTGGTATACATTGATATAGGTCCTGATTGTGACTGGCTCTCTATGTACTGCTGGTATACATTAATATAGGACCTGATTGTGACTGGCTCTCTCTGTACTGCTGTTATACATTGATATAGGACCTGATTGTGACTGGGTCTCTCTGTACTTCTGGTATACATTGATATAGGTCCTGATTGTGACTGGCTCTCTATGTACTGCTGGTATACCTTGATATAGGACCTGATTGTGACTGGCTCTCTATGTACTGCTGGTATACCTTGATATAGGACCTGATTGTGACTGGCTCTCTCTGTACTGGTGGTATACATTGATATAGGACCTGATTTTGACTGGCTCTCTCTGTACTGCTTGTATACATTGATATAGGACCTGATTGTGACTGGCGCTCTCTGTACTGCTGGTATACATTGATATAGGACCGGATTGTGACTGGCTCTCTCTGTACTGCTGGTATTCATTGATATAGGACCTGATTGTGACTGGCTCTCTATGTACTGCTGGTATACATTGATATAGGACCTTTAATGGCAGAAAGTTAATTATACTCCGAGCAAATACTATATTTAAATAGATTTGAGATGCCATGTGTGCAGCATGTGTCAGATGTGTAGAAGTTTGGAATGTTAAGCTCAATTTGCATTTATAGAAGATGTAATTGTGTTAGTTGGTCCTTGTATTGGTTTGTTGTCTTTCATTCAGAGAGTTTCAAAAATGCTTTGGTTAAGTTTAAATTATTAACAGTGCAGCATGATACCAGCCCCTAGATATCCCGGTAAACATTGAGAGATTGGATCCACTTAGTTGACCATATATCAGCCCAGACCACGGATCACTTATCAAAGTGTGGAATCAGACGAAATCCTACTGGGATGCATATTGATGAAAAACACATTCATTATAAACTTCATGCAGAATTTTATAGATGCACATTGTTACAATCAAATCAATCTTTAATGAAGTTGCAATCAGCAGCTAGTATAGAGCAAAAACACAACATTATGGCTGCCTGCACACAAACAATAGTAGGGGTGATAGTACTCAGGTGAGGCATGCTTTATTGGTTCATGTTGTATTTACGGGGCAGGCTGTAGACAGGTTCATATTCTCCATATGCACACACTTCTAATGGACTGTGTGGGTACCATTGAGCTCAATGATAAAACACCATTATTTACATAAAAATCTATATCAATATTTATTCGTTGTTAACCCTAGAAATTACTCTTTTGTGCGGTGGGACAGTAGCAATCAGTAGAAACATTTTTCACTGAGGAATCTAAAATATTTCCCAGCTTTTGTTTGCAGTTGGATCATTGTTTCTAACGATCCTTATAGTGTTACATAGGTTGAGCGTTTGTAATGATGGTCTGATGGAATTGTACTTTTAAATCACTTCATTTTGAGTTTTTAAACAAAGCCATGAAGAGAGTTATCTAACTTCCTTGTGTGTAAAAGGTTTGATGGCCTATGTCCGTGTTGACTGGGGGACACACAATCAATAAACCATTTTTTGTGTTTACTGACATAAGACTTTCGGAAGATAATAATCGCAAATGCTTATAGAAATTAACATTTATAAAAATAGGGTCAGAGAACTTTGAACACTGACTGAAAACAGGGTCAGAGAGCTTTAAACACTGACTGAAAACAAGGTCAGAGAGCTTTAATGCTGACTAAAAACAGGTTCAGAGAGCTTTAAACGCTGGCTAAAAACAGGGTTAGAGAGCTTTAAACACTGACTGAAAACAGGGTCATAGAGCTTTAAACACTGACTGAAAACAGGGTCAGAGAGCTTTAAAACACTGGCTGAAAACAGGGCCAGAGAGCTTTAAACACTGACTGAAAACAGGGTCAGAGAGCCTTAAACATTGACTGAAAACAGGGTCAGAGAGGTTTAAACACTGACTGAAAACAGGGTCAGAGAGCTTTAAGCACTGACTGAAAACAGGGTCAGAGAGCTTTAAACACTGACCGAAAACAGGGTCAGAGAGCTTTAAACATTGACTGAAAACAGGGTCAGAGAACTTTAAAACACTGGCTGAAAACAGGGTCAGAGAGCTTTAAACACCGACTGAAAACAGGGTCAGAGAGCTTTAAACACTGACCGAAAACAGGGTCAGAGAGCTTTAAACATTGACTGAAAACAGGGTCATAGAGCTTTAACCACTGACTGAAAACAGGGTCAGAGAGCTTTAAAACACTGGCTGAAAACAGGGCCAGAGAGCTTTAAACACTGACTGAAAACAAGGTCAGAGAGCTTTAATGCTGACTAAAAACAGGTTCAGAGAGCTTTAAACGCTGGCTAAAAACAGGGTTAGCGAGCTTTAAACACTGACTGAAAACAGGGTCAGAGAGCCTTAAACATTGACTGAAAACAGGGTCAGAGAGGTTTAAACACTGACTGAAAACAGGGTCAGAGAGCCTTAAACATTGACTGAAAACAGGGTCAGAGAGCTTTAAGCATTGACTGAAAACAGGGTCAGAGAGCTTTAAAACCCTGGCTGAAAACAGGGTCAGAGAGCTTTAAACACTGACCGAAAACAGGGTCAGAGAGCTTTAAACATTGACTGAAAACAGGGTCAGAGAGCTTTAAACATTGACTAATGCTGAATCAATTACAACAAAATTAAACAGACAAAAGTTTTCCCCTTCATTGATGCCACAGCTATTTTTAGCTGCTCTGACCAGAAACGTTTAGTAAGCAGAGTAATTTTGACTTTTCAATTTAGTTTGAAAAATGAAAGTAAAAAAATAGTAGTAGACTAAACAAGATCAAATTTCAACATTTTGTTTAGATTCAAAATTTCTTACAACTATTTGATTGATATCTGTTTGAATATTTCAGGGAAAGGAATTTGCTGAACACTTCTTGCTTGAGTATCAGAGAGAAGATGATGGCGAGTGGATACGATTTCGGGACAGACGAGGACGAGAGGTGGGGAAAATAGCCAAATCATTCTGTCAAACTTTTGAAAATAAATTAATGTCATTTTACTTATCTGCTAACTGATATTCCTGGTCAAGTACCAGCAATGGTTATAGCACCTAGTAAACACAAGTACTCCCTCCCTGTACCAGTAATGGTTGTAGCACCTAGTAAACACAAGTACTCCATCCCTGTACCAGTAATGGTTGTATCACCTGGTGAACAAAAGTACTCCCTCCCTGTACCAGTAATAGTTGTATCACCTAGTGAACACAAGTACGCCCTCCCTGTACCAGTAATAGTTGTATCACCTAGTGAACACAAGTACGCCCTCCCTGTACCAGTAATAGTTGTATCCCCTAGTAAACACAAGTACTCCCTCCCTGTTCCAGTAATGGTTGTATCCCCTAGTAAACACAAGTACTCCCTCCCTGTACAAGTAATGGTTGTATCACCTAGTAAACACAAGTATTCCCTCCCTGTACCAGTAATGGTTGAATCACCTAGTAAACACAAGTACTCCCGCCCTGTACCAGTAATAGTTGTATCACCTAGTAAACACCAGTACTCCCTCCCTGTACCAGTAATGGTTGTATAACCTAGTAAACACAAGTACTCTCTCCCTGTACCAGTAATGGTTGTATCGCCTAGTAAACACAAGTACTCCCTCCCTGTACAAGTAATGGTTGTATCACCTAGTAAACACAAGTACTCCCGCCCTGTACCAGTAATAGTTGTATCACCTAGTAAACACCAGTACTCCCTCCCTGTACCAGTAATAGTTGTATCACCTAGTAAACACCAGTACTCCCTCCCTGTACCAGTAATGGATGTATAACCTAGTAAACACAAGTACTCTCTCCCTGTACCAGTAATGGTTGTATCGCCTAGTAAACACAAGTACTCCCTCCCTGTCCCAGTAATGGTTGTATCACCTAGTGAACTCAAGGACTCCCTCCCTGTACCAGTAATGGTTGTAGCACCTAGTAAACACAAGTACTCCCTCTCTGTACCTGTAATGGTTGTATCACCTAGTAAACACAAGAACTCCCTCCCTGTACCAGTAATGGTAGTATCACCTAGTAAACACAAGTACTCCCTCCCTGTAACAGTAATAGTTGTATCCCCTAGTGAACACAAGTACTCCCTCCCTGAACCAGTAATGGTTGTATCACCTAGTAAACACAAGTACTCCCTCCCTCCTGAAACCTGACACTTGTGTTTTATTTGGATCAAAGACACAGTAGACAAGACAAGAAATATAAACTATCAAAACAAGTGAGAAATTAATGTGAAGTCAAGATAAATAAAATAACATTGTAGGTATGACCATATGCTGCAATGTAGGTTCTCCTCCACAGATTAAGGGATTCACCAATATATCATCAACATCTGCCTTGCCCTGGTCTGTTTGATGTAAACCCCCTCCCCATCCCGCCCCTCCCCCACCCCCTCTCACTGACAGATACTACACTGCTGTCTATGGTATTACAGATGTGTATATTTATCTGGTTACCATGTCACCAAAGCCAGCCCATGTTTCATCAGGTCAGATGGTATGTCAGATCCAGAGTGGGTGGGAGAAAATAAACTTTCATTTTTAAATATCTCAAAAAATATCTGGGAAAGTGCTCCAATTATTTCTTAAATCACAACAAAATTTTCTGACAAGTGATTTGAACATGTTGCCTTTACAGACTTAGTGACACTGATTGTGTTGGCTCTGTGACCATTGTTAACTTGTTATAGTCCACAATCTATCACTGGTGAAATATCTCCTCACATCATATTTACCAACAAAATAAACACATTTTGGTAACGTTTGGAATGTTGAACTTGTTTATTACCTTTTCTGTTTATATAATTGGGTATTTTAGATAAAAAGGATAATTCTAGAATTGGAGTGTTTATATAATTATTTATTTTTGATTAAAAGACTTTATAGTAGGATTAAAATGTTTACCTACTGTGTACTTATCAATGACAGTTGTCCGTGAGCCGGGTAGTGAACACATTCCAGTGTTGATAGCTAGGGAGAAGGTGGTATAGAGAGGACGACTCTTTAGATTGGTTCAAAGGTATTTTTGTCAGGAATCAGTATATTTGATAAACCTGTAGTTGAATTGGACTTTTTACATTCTGGCAGTGATATTAGTTTTGTGAAATTTTATTCGATTTCAAAAACTATTTGTTTAGATGATTTGTCAGCAATGTAAGGTGTATATGTGTGAGGCGTCCTCACTGGTGCTGCTTATCGCGAGCACTTTCCTTTTCAACCAATATTGTATTGCTTCTGTGGTGAATGCTGGGTGCCATGTTAGCAGACCATTAGATGGATGTAGTTGTGGAAATACAAAATTCTAAATAACTAATAGATGGCTATCTGTGGATTGATTCCAGTCTAATGTATTTATATCTGTGGTATTCTCAATCAAATGTTTATTATAAACCAGCTGTTTATAAGAAATTACATTGCCTTTCAAAAGAATTTGTTTTTGTGGATGGAATAATTTTGTATCGTCCTGAGCCCAACTCTATATATAGTTCCAGCCCCACGTTACCTTTTAAGGTGATTTAACTATCATATTTTACTTTGGTCCCCCTTATAAGGAGATTTGCTTTGTGTTTTACAAATGATTGCAATATAACACAGGACAAGTCTATTCCGAATTCACATTCAAAGTCTTTAATAAGCCTGGTGCCAATTTGGCGGGTAAATGTCATGTTAATTACCTGTATGACACAAGTTTTAATAATTTTTATTTTGTTGCAGCAATTTAATGGAAACACAAACACGTACCTGGCCGAGGTGTGTGAGGTCTCACCCCCCATCATCTGTAAACGGATCCGATTCATCCCCTACAGTCTCCGTAAACGTACTGTCTGCATGCGGGTCGAGCTCTACGGATGTAACTGGAATGGTAGGCAGATTCAGAATTTCAGTCCATACTTTCGTTGACACTGCTCATATTTTGTAGATATATTTGTTTCTCTTTTGCGTTGAGTTATATAATTACTGAGAGTTTGAACTCAGGATAAGAGTTAGAAGTTAAGTATTTTTTTAATATTTGTTTCCCAAGGGTATTTCATAATACATACACTTGACATAATTCTCCTGGGGTATATATATTTGTACCTTGGGTATTTATATATATATATATATATATTTGTACCTGGGGTATGTGTTATATATAAACATACTTTATGCATCCTAATGTACATTCCATCCTTTATTAACTTATTTGAAAAAATATGACTATCATAATGGCTATTTTTGGGAGTGTTTCTACAATGTTCTAGTTTCCTTAATCACTAAGTGCCAAAGTTTGCTATTATAGGTACATAAAAACTCAACTCATTTTCAATTTTATACTCTGATACATTACTACTCAAACTTCATTTATGATAAAAATATGAAGGAAATGTCACATCTCAAAATCCTCGAGGTAGATGTTACGTATTGTGCCCCCTCAGTGATACCAACAAATCCCTGACGGTAATTATGCCCCGGAATCAGTCGGAAAGGTGTAGAAACCTGTAATGGGTTCCAGCCACACTCATTACAGTGATAGCAGCATACAAAAAATAATTACATGTAATAGGAATTTCCATCAAGACAAAAGGAGATTGAAATAAATAATTATCTTAGTAAAAATGATTAAAAGAAATAGTTATAAGCATAAAATGAGGACATAAATATAGAGTGCTGCCCGTGTTTACATTCAGTTAATTCATAGCACACCAATCCGTGTGGAATTCCTCAGGGAGATCGAAAACGTTACATTTTATTTAACTATTTTGCTTTCATTACATAAAAAAATCAAATTCTCAAAGCAATTTTATTTCCATGAGAAACTTGCAATCTGAAAGGAAAACCATATTGGGTGAAATATCCATAAAATCTGTTAAATGTTTTCATTGGCTTCAGGTATGAAAAATACAGGACAGATTGAGTCCTTCAGTACCTTATCACCATTCCAACTAAAAGATCACTCATCTCATAATGATATGCAAAGAGTTATAGAATTATTATATATTGCTCAAATTACTCATGCCATCAAATTCAAATCAAGAGATGGCACTCTCCAACTTCAGAACCATGATATCAAATTCAAACTGGTGTACAGACTCATTGCACATCCAGATTTCGCTGTAGAACACAAGTAATTGATATTCAAATTCAATCAGACTGGTAGTTAATTACGAGGAAAAAAATCTGAGGCAGGACTTGGATACACCAGTTACATTCCAAGCCCTTAGACGACCGGGGAAGTTCAGAATATTTTTTTGTGAAAATTGTCTATTACAAGATGCTTGATTACTTTTATCATTAGGGTACACCGACAATTTACGTAAAATGCTTGAGAAAATATGATGATGATTCAGAGGCTTGTGTTTTATGGCAAAATCACTAGTTATCAGGACCTTGCCGATACAAAAAATGTGGAACATAAAATATTATCTCAAGTACTAAACAGTTCAGGGTTTCAGCGTGGTGGCAGAAAATTGGATGTTGGAGTTTTGATGATCGTACCATAATGAAAATATCAATTTTAGAAGTTGGAAGATCGGTTTATAGCAGCATGTAGTTTGTTTTCTAATATGTTTACAAATGTACAACTCACAACTGTATTTAACTACAGATAGCCAGTCTGTAACAGCAGATAGTATCAATGTTAGGAGTAAAGACAACAGTTACTAACAGTGGGAAGGGTTTTCTTATAATATGTTTACAAATTTATAACCTGCGTAAGTTGTTAGAGATTATGTCAACTTAGGCGGCGCTTTGAGTACTTGTAATGGTGGAGTGGCAGACAGAGCTGTCTAATGGACGAGGTTAAAGTGGAAATAATACAGATACCGTAAACACAGCCTCAGACATCACAGGCACAGAGTAGTGCTGATTTTTATATGTTTTAGTGCCTAATAAGATCTGGTGATTTTTTGTCTGTCATTAGGAACACTTCAACTGTTACTTATATACACTACTTGGTAGCATAATGTAAATTTTCAGAAGATGTATTTCAAACAACATACAAAAGGGCAGCAAGTGCTGTTTGGACATTTTCTAGCTTTACTGGGAAATGGGTCCACATTTATAAACCATTGGTACCCAGTCTGGAAAGACAAAGTTAAATATATTCAAAGGCCTTACTTGTATGATGATCAACTGTTATAGTGTTTCCCCCATACACTATTGAATGATGTGCTTGTGTATATATGTACCGTACTGATCACATTGTAATACATTTTGTAGTGGAAGGGAGATCACTCCATTACTGACGATACTCCTCCACTCTTCCACCAATCATTCATTTTGTCAGTCGTTTCATTATGTTTCAATTCATTCATTAATAAATAAGAGTATATCTTATAAATTTGATTGATTTGCTCATCATCATTCCCAGAAACTAACAAGACTAATTTACGCCATTCCTGTAGCTAAGTGACATACAAACATACTTTAGATCTATAGAGTATGTGCATATAAATATACAAACGGAGGCTCAATATTTTGGACAATATATGATGGACCGGGCAGTCAGGTATGTATGGAATATTAGACAGAATGTAGACTCAGGCAATGAGGGTGTGTTTGTAAATATTCTTGTAGTTTATTTTAAATGCTAATTTTCGTCAAAACTTTGCATTCATTATTGAGAAGAAAATCGTTACAATTAGAAGAGATAATTTTAATGATTTAACAACATTGACCACCTAGCATGTAATGACTGTCTTATGCTGTAATCAAAATACACAGTTCTCCTCCATACAGTCCTGATCACAAACAAAAATCTACCTTGGCCTGAGAACAAAATGCCGATCGGGTAATAATGATGTAGAAACTAATGAAAAAAACATATCGTAAATTTATATTGCAGATACCGTGTTGTAGCTGACTGGGCTCGACACTTTTATTCATTGTTAACAGCGTTTCACATGGCTTTAATTAGACAGATATTTTGGTTCAGGAACGACATCAACAGATTGGGACCAGTCAATTAGTTCTTCTGTCCAAGCAGAAAATCCCCAAAACATCTGGAGATTTCCTGCTTCTGTGATCACTAGGGTTTTGACAGGAAGATGAAAGTAGTAGGAAAACACTTGTCACTGCGGGGACTAGCTTCTGATATATTTTTACAAAATTTTAATGAATCAAACAAACTTCTTAAAACAGTGTTCAAACAGTGTTAAAACAGTGTTAAAACAGTGATGATTTAACAGAGAAATGGGACAAGAAAGATAACTCTTATTGAAACAGACATGTTGGTGCGAAATGGGTAGTACCTGGGGTTGTGTCTATGTTGGATAGTAAATAATCTTTGTAGCTGATTTTTCTATACATTTTTTATATGAAACATATCTAAGGGGATGATGATTGAATAGGTAGGATTTGTACATTCATATGAAAAAAATCTACTCTAAAATCATATTTAAAAAATGTTTTTCACTTATCATTTGTTTTTACAGATAGTGTAGTTGCGTACACAATGCCACAGGGGGACAAGCGCGGATCAGAAGTGGATCTCTTTGACTTTACCTATGACGGAATCTTCAACGAAAACTACCTGTCTGGAGGTTTGGGACAATTGACTGATGGAGATGAGGGGACAGGAAACTTTCGTTTGGACCAGCGAGGTCTTGGAATCAAAGGATACGAGTGGGTTGGGTGGAAGAATGATACTCATGTAACTATGCCTGTTGAAGTTATTTTCAAATTTGACCAAATGCGGAACTTCTCCATGGTGATTTTTCACTGTAATAATTATTTTAGCAAGGACGTCCGAGTGTTTCGAAGGGCAGAGATCTTTTTCAGTGTCGGAGGAAAGTACTTTTCTGGGCCCCCAATAGTTTTTGATTTCCAGAGAGACTCGTGGATGGAATATGCCCGAAATGTGGAGATTTTTCTCAACCACACTACTGGGAAATTTGTCAAAGTTGTACTTTACTTTGATGCCAAGTGGATGATGATCAGCGAGGTCAAGTTCATCTCAGGTATGTATTTGTTTACCTTGTAATTAGATAACTGACCACTTTAACATTCTAATAGTGGGTTAAGGTGCTAGATTGCCTGCTTATATAAGGTAAATACTCTCTCTATAATAGTGGGTTAAGGTGCTAGATTGACTGCTTATATAAGGTAAATACTCTCTCTATAATAGTGGGTTTAGGTGCTAGATTGACTGCTTATATAAGGTAAATTACTCTCTCTATAATAGTGGAAAAAGGTGTTGTAGACTGACCATTAATATAAGAAAATTACTCTTTAATAATGGATATGGTGCTAGACTGACCACTAATATAAGGTACTTACTCTATATTAGTTGATATAGGTGCTAGACTGACCGCTAATTAATAACACATGTAACAGTAACGTATCTACAGACAATACCACATGTATCAGTACCTGTATCTACAGACAATAACGCATGTATCAGTACCTGTATCTACAGACAATAACACATGTATCAGTACCTGTATCTACAGACAATAACACAAGTATCAGTACCTGTATCTACAGACAATAACACATGTATCAGTACCTGTATCTACAGACAATAACACATGTATCAGTACCTGTATCTACAGACAATAACAC